TTTATTACCGACAGCGTAAAAAAAAAAACATTCAGCTCACCGTGCTTCCGTCCAGACAGGTTCTTTTTTAGCCTTAGTGCCGGAGCGCAAACCCGCAGCAGTCGTCCGCATGACGGACACGAAACACGGAGCAGACAAAAGCCTCCGTGAGGCATGAGGTCGCCGCCATGTTTGCTGTATGGTCCTGTCCGGAACAAACAGACCGGCTGCTGCGTGCGCCGCTCCGCCCCTGCAGGCTTCCGTAATTGTGATGCCAAAAACTGTCGCGGCAAAAATGGTCAGAAACACGGCGAAAGTGTGTTAGAAAGACAAATAGTCTTGCGGGTATGATCATAGTCATTTATTAATGGGCAGACATGGAACAGAAAACAATCACGAAGTCTGTAGGATGTGGGCCCCCGACTGAGGGCGGAAGAGAACTGTTATACCTTCAGCTAWCATCATGTGATAATGAACAACCAATCACAACCTGCCCATCCTGATACACSGAAATAGGTCAACTCGATGATGACGTCCGGAGGATATCACAAGATATGAACAAGTGGACAGGGTCAAGGTGATACAGAAATAAGTATTCCACAACATTCCCTCCTCTTGAGTGAAGAAAATACTCAATACTAAAAATGGAAAAGGAATAATTATTATAAGTCAGTTCCACAAATGCATCGCTCAACAAATATAAAATGAGAAATAAGGTAAAAATAGTGCAAAGGATTACTGGCATAAGCTGGCTTGTGCCAGGAAAGCAAAAAACAAATATGTAACAAAAAATAACAAACAAAAGCTAAACCTAAAATCTAAATAAATTAAACTAAAGGTAACAGCTCCACCCTCCTCTTGTTACACCTAAGCTAAATCCTAATATTAAACCTAGAACTAGTCCTCTGTGAATGACATAGATGCCGTTGTAACAGCACGTCTTCAGCTCCCCAGTCCTCACAGGTAAAACCCAGACGGGCTAATAGTCCCTGCAATACGTCTTCGTGGCGTTCCAGGCTCGAGGTAATGGGAACCCCCCCCCCTGGATTACCACAAACGCAGAAAGAAACAAATCATCAAAAAATGCCTGTCGATGGAAGGGTCTCAGAGACCCAGCAGACAGCCATCTAAGCTTTACCAGGGAAAACTGCACAAGAGGACAAAACCCTAGAAAAACATAAAAGGAAATAACAGAACAAAGCATAAAAACAAAAAAATTAACCCCAAAAACATCCAGAGAATGGCTAAATGTTTAAAAATCATGTACTCCTATATGTTATTCCCAGGAGGTGGAGCCAAAATTCAACCCAGGATATGAGTATATAAATGCATAGCAAACGAACAGGTGGGGTAATTAGAAATTCACAATAATAAGCCAGTCAGAAATGCACAAATTGGTTCAGTATAGCAGATGGGACAAATCAAAGTATCATGGAGGCGGAAACAGTGTGGCCAAAGCATCAGCACACTGTAAAAACCGTTCTGTTCTCATCATGTCAAATAAAGGCAGGGTTTGTGATCAGAAAACCACAACAGAACAGCAGAATCACGCCTGCACAAGGTGGAATGAGATGAAGCTGGAACGGACGGTCCTCCTMGAAAGGATCCCCAGGAAATGCCAGGTGGAAATGGTATGCACGAGGTGGCGCGTAGCTCCTAGCCGGTCCAGGTGAAAGTGGAACATCTCCTCCCCATCATTTTCCCTGTGAAAAAGAAAACTCACAACATAGAGAGAGAAAAAAAATTAGAAATAAATCAAAAGAACACTCAGACAGACATTCCCCGTGTGTGAAAACTGATAATGATTAATAAATCATTAAATTGTAATTCCTAAGGAACAACAAAACTCAAACACAACAGTTCTCCATATTATCCTCATTTATAAATAAAACCTCTGTTCTCTGAACAAAGCCAGGAGGAAACCAGATGTCATATTCTGTATACAAACTGCACTCATTTCTGCTCCTATTAGCATTTATCCATATTTAGCAGTGTAACACATTAATCTGGCTTCCAGAAACCTGCAGTCTCAGGTTGTTCCATTTATGGAAGTAAATTAAAGTCCTATTTAGGAGAACTGAAGACATTATCACCTCACACACACGTCTGACATGAACCCCCCCGCCCCAATCCGGGTTCCCCATGCCCTTCCTGTCCCTCCAGGCGAGAAACAGTGAGCCGGAGCGAAAACCCGGGTTGGGGTGCTGAAAGAGATTTCCACCAGGCACCCAGATAAATCTCGGCGGGAGATAAAAGACCTGTAAGTGACTTGGTACAACCTGAAACAGCATCGTAGATGTGGCAATGTGGAATGTTTGTAAGATAAGCCGGTGTACGAGGCGCGTGCAGCGCAAACGCAGGAAGAGGTTAGAACCCCCACTAAGTGCTTTTAGAC